ATAACTAGACTAAAGCCCTCTCCAACATAAAATAGCCCCAAACCACCTCCACACCGACCAACACCCAAATGCAACCAACCAAAGAAAGTGGCCTGGTCTGGTGCCCAGCACACGTGATTTATAAACTTCCCCTACGACTAATTAGATCTGGACCAATGAACCAGATGTCCTCCCAACAGTTACACAGAGAGTCGACCCGAGAGACCCCGCAACAATCCTTTCCACGCATAAATCGGGAGTTGCAGCACCGCTACCACCAAGGGAAAAAGGCCAGAAAAGGGGAAGATTAAGATAACAGACTCAGTGTCGACCTCTGCAAAATGGTCGAAGCCGTTTGCCGCTAGGGGTGGGCATGGGTCGGTACGGTTCGGAGATTAACAAATCTCCAGAACCATACCGAAGTTCAGAGATTACTAAAATTCAATCTTGAACCGTACCAAAAAATCGGTTTAGTTGGTTCGGATATTTTCTTTTTTTGGTTGACTATCGGAATGGTTCGGTTCGATTCAATTCTGTTAAGATATTCAGAAATTTTTAATTATTTTTTTTATTTTTTTGAATGACCACCTAATTGTATTTTAATTTTTTTTAAATCCAACATTCATCAATAGTTTATCATACTAAATATCTTATTTTTAAATTAACTGGAGAAATAACTCTAGTAGTTAAGACTAAATTTATTGCAACTTACATTGAAACTTCAAAATTCAAACAAAATATAATATAGTTTTTTATTAAAGTAATATTTTTTAACCATCCATACCATGTTAGTTATAAGATAGAATAAGACTAGTATCGAGAAATTTAATAGAATAAGACTAGTATCGAGAAATTTAAGTGATGTTTAAATATTTTTTGTTTAAATATTTCATTAACCTTTCATGTAATTTTAAATATATTTTTCTTAAACCAGGAACATTCAATTATAGATATCAAGTATTACTAAATATGAAATTTAAGTGAAACTTAATTGTTATAACTATATTTTATTTCCATATTTAGAGAAGTTTAAATTATACTACCTCCTATTCAAAATAAATGTCGTTTTGACTTTTTTGATTCATCCATTTTGCTATGTATCTAGACATATTTTATGTCTAGATACATAGCAAAATGGATGAATCAAAAAAGTCAAAACGACATTTATTTTGAATAGGAGGTAGTATATGATTAAAGTTTACATAACATATCTCTCTTAGTGAGGTCTTTGTGAGCTTGCCACGTCGCCTGTTAATGAGCCGACACATAGCAACTTTTTTTTCCCCAAGGAGGAGCAAAACGACGTCGGTTTTGTAGTATCTTAATTGTTGAGGAAAAAAATGGTCAAAATTATATGCGAGCATTTTCTCTCAGTCTGTCTCTTCTCTTCCTTCAAGCCCTAGCCCGTCATCTCTTGTTCTCTCTCTACAAGAAGCAAGCCGAATTCATTTCCGGAATTAGGGGCAACAACAAATTCGAAAGAGTAAATAATTCTGCAGTCAGCAGTTGGCTATGGAGACTGACGGAACAACTTCACCCTCGACATCGTCCTCGT